ATGGAGGGAGGGAGGGGAAGGGGATGGATGGATGATGGATGGATGGAGGAAGGAGTGGGGGATGGATGGAGGGAGGGAGGGGAAGGGGATGGATGGATGATGGATGGATGGAGGAAGGAGGGGGGATGGATGGATGGATGGACGGATAGATGAAGGGGTAGGAAGGGAGGGAGAGAGGGAGGGGGACAGGGGGACGGATGGCAGACACTGTGTAGGCATTGGCCAGACACTCCCAAGGCCCGAGCCCCACCATCCATCCCCCAACTGCCCCACTGGACGCTCCTCAGCCCCCAACAAAGGCCCCCACACACACCCCAGCCCTGCGGGGCTCCCCTGGCACCCCCGAGCACCGGGGAGGGGGGCAGCTCCGTGGACAAAGCTTTGGGGGGTGGCGGCCAGTCAGCCGACCAGGGAGACGCTGGGCCCCGACAGCTACGGCTGAACAAAGAACAGGCGAAGGGGGGATTTGAGCCCCAGCTCTTGGTACCAACATGGGCAACAAAGCCGGGTTCATTCCCTTCTCAGTCGGGCACCAATGGCCACGGACAATTCACAGGGGACCCAAGGGGCAGACTTTGACCAGGGAGGGTACTGAACCGTGGGGACAATTGACCGAGGGGCATGGGGGGGGGGTCGCCAGCCTGGATTCGGGCTGTTTTGGGGGCCAGCCGGGCATTCACGCAGGGAAGGGCCGTGGGCCGGCGAGCTGATCATGCGGCTCCCATCTGGGGGGAGAATCTAGACCTTGCTGCCCCGTATTCTCGCAGGCCAGGGGGACCATTTCCGCTCGGCGGCCGCGTGGGCAACGGAGCCAGGAACCAGCTCTGGCTTCCACAGCAAACCCAGGCACAGAGCCAGCCATGAGCCATGGCCAACCTTGGCACAGAGAATGACTACACCAGCCTTCAGAAGAGTTGGGGGGTGGGGAGCCCAGGGCTGGGCTGGCAGGGGCTGCGGGTCGGGAGTGAGGGGCACCGGCAGGGCGGGAGTGGGGGGGCAGGGCTGGGGTAGCCGGGGGCTGCGGGTCGGGAGTGAGGGGCACCGGCAGGGCGGGAGTGGGGGGGCAGGGCTGGGGTAGCCGGGGGCTGCGGGTCGGGAGTGAGGGGCACC